TTAATTTCATCTTATTTTTCTATTTCTTTCGGTCTTTTATTATTTAAGGGTGTGGGGATGGGTGTGTGAGTGTTGGAAAATATAAGGAGAACCCTCACCCACACTCACATCCACCCACACCCACCCACACCCAAACCCACACCCAAACTCACACCGACACACCCACACACACCCTGATTTTTCACTGCTGCCGAGTCCACTAAAAACCTATCAATCTTCTCCAGCAGTTTACCTGTTGAAAAGCAAAGTGAAAAAGTGAAATGGAAAGGCGTAACAAAATACAACAATATCGAGTTTACTCAATAACTTTCTTCACATCTCTCTACACGAACAACAATCCTATTACAACCGTCTCCTCTCGAAATCGAAATAGAAACCTGACGTGCTTTTAATATCGGAAATGGCAAAATATTCCACTGGTCCGATTTCAAATCAACAGTTAAGAACATAATACCACTACAGTTCGAAGATAAAGCTCAGCTTATCGATAACTCTTCGGAATCCGAAGAATTATCGCCAGGTTCATTTACTGATTTAAATTTGAAAAACTTACGTTTGTAAAAACCTAAAAAAAAGGTTTTTCAGTCATTTTTTTATTTTTTACTAAACAAATTTTTGGTTAAGTTTAATTTCTATGAAAAGAATTTTGTTTAATTATAGGCGAGTCAAGCGTTGACGAGTCTAGAGATTTTGATCCAGAAACAACCGATGACTTTTCAGCAACATGTCGTCCTTCCGGTTTCCTGTTCTGGGATTGTCCTGTCGAAGGTTGTATTCAGCAATATCGACGTTACTATGATCTTCAGTGCCATCTCGATAAAGGAAAACACATTGTCAAAGGAGCCAAAACGCCTCTACTTGATAAAGCTAATTCTATGTTTAAAAATCTTCTTGAAAATAATGCTCAAAGAGTACCTAGTACTCTTCAAAATTTCAATAGTGTCCAAAATATTAATCGTATGTCAACCGTTGTTTTACCAAAAGGATGAGTTTTACTTCTACCAAAAACAAAGGCACGTTTTATTGAATTACAGAAGAAATATCTTATTGACGTCTACAATAATGGAGAAGAAACAGGATTTAAATCTACTACAGAAAAATTTCTCTCGTAATGAACGTTTTTAAAAAGACTAAAGGAATAGCTTCTTTCTTTGCAGGAAATGCCATTTATCAAGGACAATAGTCAGTTTAGATTTACACCAGATGAATGTCTGACAGCATCGCAAATTAAGAGTTATTTTTCTCATCTTACTCGAAGACGACGCAAACAAGTCAATGAAAGTCAGCGTTTATTCAGTCAATCAGTGGCAACAAATAATGGTTACCGAATGGATTTGGATGATAGCGACGAAGAAATTGATGAAGAAAATACAAGCGATTACGATTCTCAAGTTGCTGCTGAATAAATAACTGATTTTCAACAAACAGCAAGAAACATCTTAAAAAAGTAGAAAAAAAATAATTGAAAGCTATAAATCGTAAACCATGATCATAATAGTCGTCAGATGTGACCTCTCTTTTTCGTACTATCTAACCAGTTCTCTTTTTCATTTTCATTATTAATTGGATCCATGGATATAAAAACAAACATCAATGATTTTTTATAACAGGTCTTCTTGCTTGAGATAAATCGACACATTAAAATCATACTGGTAATAATAAAGAAACTTCAGAAAAAAGATGTTCCATATTTACAGTACAATAGTTTATTTAGCATGTATCGCTCAAGCTTCCGGAAACAATACACAAGGCAAAGTAGCTGCAAGGATCAAAAATCATTTTAACACATTCGACCCGATGGGATCCATCGGTGGACCCCACTTTGCTTTTCATATTTTAATCTCTAAATACGTTTTATTAAAAGGCAACATATACCATAAGATTCAGCGTGAAAAGCTCTACAATCTCCATAGTAAAGCTTATTTTAATTGTGTAATTTTTGTTTTCAAAGAAAATAAAACTCTGTATAACTAGTTTTCGAAGTTGCGAAACGATCATTTTTTTTTGCACGAATGTGAAATTTCATTTTTCTTGTTTCATCTTTTTATCACCTAATATTATTTCTTAAGAAAAAACAAAATATAGAACAAGATGCAGTGTGAAACGCTCTACAATCTACATCGTAAAGTTTATTTTTTGTTTTCAAAAAAAGCAAAACTCTGTGCAATCAATTTTCGCAACCTCAAACATTGGTCACACACAATTTTAGTTTATTTTGAAAACAAAAAGTACACAATTGAAATAAGTTTTATGATGTAGATTGTAGAGCTTTTCATACTGCATCTTGTGGTATATTTTGTTTTCTAATAAAACGTATTTAAAGACGTTAGTTTCTATGAAATTTGAATCGGGGTGAATGTGTTAATAGCGAAACCAAACATGCTCATGATAACTACTAGCCGAATTAGCATGCTCTTGTACAGGGTGGTAAATAATATTATTCCAGGGGGGTAACAGTATGATCTCGAATCGGAGATATCATGAATTTTATACCAAATGAAAGCCCGTGAAAAATGGGGTTTAGTGATAGTAAATAGTAAGACTTTGAAGAACTTTCGTGTACCAAATTTTTAAAAACAACGAAATTTTCTTTCAAAAACACGTTAAAAATCATTTTTCATACATTTTGAGACATTGAAAACGAACATTTTTTATGAAAACGAAAGAGAAATGATAACGATGATGATATATGACTATGACTCACACAATAAGATGGTTCTTTGGCGTTCTGTTCTTCTCTCCACGTGATACTAGTTATTTGAAAAATTTTTTCGTTCTCGGACTGTCTGAAAGTTATAGTCGAGTGAAATCTCAGTGTTTTTTCGTTTGTTATTTCAAATGGCTGGCGCTTATGATACCGAACAACAAAGAATGATTGATAGAATTAAATGCATTACTTTCCGAGAAGCTCGTGATGCTGGTGCAACATTTATAAATAGACAATGGATTGCCGACAAAATTCACCGTACGACTCGATTTGTTACAGAATGGTGGGAAAAATCGTGTGACCAATGTTTTGCTGATTATTCGAATGCTGGTCCTAAACTCAAGTTATCGAGAGCTGCTCAGGACATTATTCGTGAAGCAAGTGGTCACCAACGGAAAAGCGGTTCTGTCGTGGCGAAAGAGATTGCAAAGAAACAAAAAGAATATGTTACTCGACAAACAGTTAATAACTACCGTCGTAGGGAAGGATTAAAGCCTTTTCATGTTATTTCAAGACCGTTAAAATCTGAAACTCATATATCAGATCGATTATGGCTCTGTGATTGGTTGAAAGATTGGACTGAAGAAGATTTTCTTCATCTGGCACCATCAGATGAATTTTATGTTTGGACAGTTCGCAAACCAAATTATCAAAATGATAGGATTTGGGCAAAAAGTGTTGAAGATATTGAAGACGATGAAAGGTATCGCGAAATGGTTAAAAACCAAGCGTGTATCGGTATTTTTATCATTTTCACCGCGAAAAAAATGCATTGGGTGATTAAAGACAAAGGTGAATCTTGGACCGGTCAATATTTTCGTGACATTATTTTAATGCAACACGTATTTCCATTCCTCACCGACGAGGAAAACGTAATTGATCTGGATAATGTGATATTTGTTCACGATAAAGCACCGTGTATGCGAGCAAACATGACTCAACATCTGATTAGAGATAACAAAATCGAGTTTTGGGGCAATGATATTTGGCCTGGTAATTCGCCCGATCTCAATGCGGCGGAACATATTGGATCAATAATGAAAGATGAAGTTGAACAAAAAATGTTATCGGAAACTGGACATAATCGATATAGTGAAGACACACTTAAAAAGCACATTGCGGATGTTTTGACGGACATGGAAGAAAATACCGAATTGTTTGAAGCTCTTTTATGTTCGTATCCATCTCGACTTCGTGCAGTAAAGAGTGCTAATGGTCGTCATACTGATTATTGATTGTACTCAATAAATAATAAGAAAATAAACAGTTGTACAACATATAGTTTAGCCCCGAACTTTTTCGATGAACTGATTTTATAATATTTTATGTCGATAAAAATCGTAACGTTTGATAAATTAATACAAGAAAGTTCTTCAAAGTCTTACTATTTACTATCACTAAACCCCATTTTTCACGAGCTTTCATTTGGTATAAAATTCATGATATCTCCGATTCGAGATCATAGTGTTACCCCCCTGGAATAATATTATTTACCACCCTGTACATGTAGAAAACTGACCTTATCTGCAGAAACGCTAATATAATTCTGACTTCACCATTCGAAGAGCTATGCCTTTATAATAATCAATAATAAGTCTGTGATTCGCACTAATATCTGTTTCATCTACAAAAGGTGTACATCTTTTCACATGCTTCTAACTGTTTTGTTCCTGACTTTCATATATATTTAACGTAACTTCTCTTTTTACCACATGATATAACACTTTTTATAGTTATGGAATTCTTAACTTGTATTTTACAATGCTTCACCAGAAACCAATGATTTTTCTGTCCTATTCCTACAGAAAATTTAGCAATAAGTATGTAGCATAGTTTTATTGTCAAACCCTTAGTTAATCTTTAAAATCATCGTTTCTCAGAATTTATTTATTTATTTTTTCAAAAATTCTAAAAAATTGACTGAAAATAATATTTACGTGTCATTTTCTATGTAACTGATATTTATATTTCAAACAATTATATGAATGATTTGTAGTTGAATAGATATATTGAAGAAGAAATAGTCAAAATAGCTATGTATTTTGCTTGGAATAAATGAGTTAGATAGAATGATTAGTAAAAGTCTTGATAACACAAAGATATGTTGTTTGTGAAATACATCAAAACAAGAGCAATTTGATCATCAAAACATGTGACTAAGGATGAGAAAAGTATGATTGCTTGTGTTAAATAATAAAAGACCGAAAGAAATAGAAAAATAAGATGAAATTAA